GAAGGGCCACGCGTTCAAGGCTCACCGGGCCGTGCTGGCCGCCAGCAGCTCCTACTTCCGAGACCTCTTCAACAGCAGCAAGAGCGCGGTGGTGGAGCTGCCGGCTGCCGTCCAGCCCCAATCCTTCCAGCAGATCCTCAGCTTCTGCTACACGGGGCGCCTCAGCATGAACATGGGCGACCAGTTCCTCCTGATGTACACGGCCGGTTTCTTGCAGATCCAGGAGATCATGGAGAAGGGGACTGAGTTCTTCCTCAAGGTCAGCTCGCCCAGCTGCGACTCGCAAGGGCTGCACGGCGAGGAGGCGCCTTCCTCCGAGCCCCAGAGCCCCGTGGCCCAAACTTCGGGGTGGCCCTCGGGGGCGGCCGCCTTGCCCTTGGTCTCGCGGGTGAAGACGGAGCAGGGGGAGCCCGACGGGGTGCAGTGCACCTTCGTGGTCAAGCGCCTCTGGGATGGTGGCTCCAAGGACGGCGCCGCCGGCGGCAACGGCAGCCGCAAGATGGCCAAATTCTCCGCCACCGAGCCGGGACGCCAGGCACAGCCCCCCGCTTTGGCGGCGTCGGCGGCCCCCGGCCCCAGCGCGGCCGATCAGACCAGCCCCGGAGGCACCTCCAGCGCCTACACGAGCGACAGCCCCGGCTCCTTCCACAACGAGGAGGACGAGGAGGAGGACGGGGGCGAGGAAGGCTCGGACGAGCAGTACCGCCAGATCTGCAACATGTACACCATGTACAGCATGATGAACGTGGGGCAGGCAGGTGAGGCCCCGCCCACCGAGAGGGGGGCGTGGTTATGGGTGGCTCCGCCCCACCGGGCGTGGCCTAAAGAGGCTCCTCCTATGGGGTGGGGGTGGCGCCTCTGGGGGGGGGTTGATAAAGGGGTATCTGCTGGGGGGGTGGGTATGGCCCTTTAAAGCCCTGCCCATAGAGGGGGCGTGGCCTAAAGAGGCTCCTCCCATGGGGTGGGGGTGGCACCTCTGGGGAGGACATTTGATAAAGGGGTATCTGCTGGGGGAGGGTATGGCCCTTTAAAGCCCCGCCCATAGAGGGGGCGTGGTCAGTGATGGCCCCGCCCAGCGGGCGTGGCCAGAAGAGGCTCCTCCCATGGGGAGTGGGGGGGCATCTCCAAGGTGTGGTTTGCTAAAGGGGTATTGGGGGGGTGTGGTCCTTTTGAGGCCCCGCCCACAGATGGGGTGCGGCTATTCAAGGCTCCGCCCACTGGGCGTGGCCTGAAGAGGCTCCTCCCATGGGGTGTGGTCGGGGGAGGGGCCATCCCCAGGGTGTGGGTTGCTAAAGGGGTATCTGTGGGGGTGTGGCCATTTGAGGCCCCGCCCATGATGGGTGTGGCCAGCCAGGGCTCCGCCCATGAGTCCCCCTCAGCCACTGTACAGCGAGGGGTGTGGCCAATGGGGAGGGGGCGTGGTCAGCGCTGAGGTGTGGCTGTGGAAGGGGCGTGGCCAAGGGAGGGGCTGTCCGGGGTGTGGTCACCTGAGGCTCCGCCCCCTGAGGGTGCAGGTGGGAAGGGGGGGCTGAGGCTCCACCCCTGGGCGTGGCTACACACGGGGCTCCACCCATTTGGGCGTGGCTACAGGTGTGGCCAGGTGAGGCCACACCCCTCAGTGGGTGGGGCTTGGGGAAGGGGCGGGGTCTCGGTGGGGCTCCACTGTCCCCCATGGTGGGTTATGGGGAGTGCGTGGGCACGAATGGAGCCCTTCCTGTGTCCCCCTCCCCAAATCCCTCTCCTCCCTGTGTCCCCTTCCCCGTGTCCCTCTCCTCCTCCCCATGTCCCCCTCCCCGTGTCCCCACATCCCTTTCCCCGTGTCCCCCTCCCCATGTCCCTCTCCCCATGACCCCCTGTCCA